TGATGGCAACAAATGTACAAATGTGCCTGACACAATAGATGCATGTATGTATGGATTGTGAGAAAAGTTGTACGTGCCCCCAATAAAATGATTTAAAAAAAATGATGCCTAACATTTGCAGGGTGCACTGTGTAAGGGCATTGCATAATCTCATTTGTTCCTATCATTTACTTTGTGCAAAGAATTCTTATTCCCCTTTAGTAGGTGAAGAGACTGAGGTTCAGAGAGGTTGAGTAACTTAGTGCGGTTGCACAGCTAACCAGAGAGTTTGCAGAGCTGCTGCTGCAGAGCCCGTGTCTTCACCCTCTCGTAGTGGGGAAGGAACCGTGGCTTCTCTGGGGTAGACGTTAGTCACGTGTCAGTGGGAGTAGATAATTGTGAATAGAGTGGAAGCAGAGAAGCACCCGCTCACGATTTTCCGCATGTCTTGTAATTAAGGGGATATGTCCCTCATTGTTTTCAGTCTTGTCACTAGATGTGAATTCTGTAGAAGGATAGTTTTTGTTTATACCTGTTTATACAGAATTACTGAAGTTCAGGATCCTATTGAGATAACCAAAAAATTTCCATTTTACACACACACACACACACACACACACATACACACACACACACACACCTTAAAGAAATCGGTAAGAAACGTATTAAGACCCAGTGTATTAAAGGGTACAACACACCACCAGACAGTACAACTACAGTGAAGGAATACAGAGAACTTGGTCTTGCGGGTGGAGGAACTCTGGTGGCGTACTGGTTACACATTAGGTCCATAGTTCGAAACCATCAACTCCTGTGCAGGAGAAAGACGGGGTGGGGTTACTATGAGCTGACATGAACCCCATGGCAGTGAGTTTGGTTTGGTTTTCTGAGCCTTACAAGTAATCAAATGAATGTATGTTTAAGATATAATGTGCAAAATTGGCAAAAATGTTAATACCCGAAGTATTTGTTTGCCAGTTAGAAAGTACTAATTGCTGTGATTCTCTGTCCCAGCTGTACATTAGAACCACATGGAGAGCCTAGTTTATGATGGCTTCTTTTGTGGTGGTTTAGATTCACACGCAGTGCTATGCAGAGAGCCCTGTACCCTTCCCTGAATTGCTCCGAGTGATAACCACGGTGTGACTCTGGACCAGAAGCACCACCTTGAGGCTGACAGTGGTACAGCTTGCCAACCTTCTTCAGGCCCCCCGGGACTTTCCAAAAATACCCATGCCCAGACCCCATCCAGACCACTTGAATCAGAATGACTGAGAGGCCTAGACATGGACATATTTTTAAAAGCTCCTCATGGGCTCAGTGAGCTTTTGGGTTTTACTTTTAATATTTTTCTCATTGTTGAGAATAGACCGAGCAGCATATCCACCCGAGCATCCGTTTCAACAGACAACTCACTGGCTTTGGCCATGCTCTTTGCATTGCATGCCTGTGCTGCCCCGCCTTCTCTGCGTTGTTCCTTCCCCCTCTGTTACCCACAGCCCCACCCTTCTGTGGAGTTGCTCTTATCTCTGGGATCCCGCACAGATGGATGTGAAAAGAGCAGAGGGCTCAAGAAGACTCGTACGCTGTTGATAGCATTTTAAGTACAGACAGTTCCCTTAGAGGGCTCTGCTGTAAGTCTGTTCTGATGTAGGATAACACCTCTTTGTGTTGTTTAAGTTTGATTATTGCCTTGCATGATCTGCATCATTGTAAATCAGATTTTCATTTGCCTCTAGGGGTTGGAGACATTGCATATACATTTGTTGTTAGGTGTTACCGAGTCAGCTCTGACCCGCAGTGACCCTGTGCACGACAGAACCAGACACTGCACAGTCCAGTGCCAGCCTCCCAACCGTTCCTATACCTGAGCCCATTGTTGTAGCCACGGTGTTGGCCCATCTTGTTGGGGGCCTTCTTCTTTTTTGCTGCCTTTCCACTTTACCAAACAGGACGTCCTTCTCCAGGGACTGGTCTCTCCTGACAACATGTCCAAAGTATGGAAGATGAATTCTTGCCATCCTTGCCTCTAAGGAGCACGCTGGCCTTACTTCTTCCAATACAGATCTGTTTGTCCTTTTAGTTGTCCATGGTACTTTCAGTATTCTTCTCCAGAACCACAATCCAAATGCATCTATTCTTCTACGGTCTTCCTTATTCAGTGTCTAACTTTCACATGCACATAATGCAGTAGAGAATACCATGGTTTGGGTCAGCTGCACCTTAGATGCAAAGTAACAGCCTTGCTCTTCAATACTCTAAAGAGGTCTTGTGCAGCAGACTTTTCCTAATGCAGCACATCTTTTGTTCTCTTTACTCCTGCTTCCATGAGCATGGAGTGTGGATCCAAGCAAGACACTTATAGATGCATTTTCTCTCTCTCACACACCCACCCACCCACACACACTATGAAGAAGAGTGATGATGCTAGCATTTTGTCATTTGTAGCAATAACTGCATTTGTGGAAGGTTCTGGATCATACTAACTACTCTTGGGAATTTCTAGCCAGGAAGCCAGCGAGAGTTGCCCGGATGGCCCTTGTCTTCTTTTTCTTCCCATAGGCCTCAGTAACATCTTGCCATGTTCTGAAACTGCCTGTCAACTTTAGCGAAGTGGTCAGCGTTGGAGCCCATGTTTTCAAGGCCCTGAAGCCCTAAACTTAGTTTAGAAAACTAAATCTATATGACAGGGTTTTGGACAGGAAGTCATCAGAACGAATGTCTGCAAGTGAACGTCCTGAAATGATAGCATCAGCAAAGTTTGTACTGCGACTTTGTGTGCGCTACATGTTACCACTGAGAAGATGGAAAACAACAAAAATGACGGTCAGAACGCAAATACATTACAAGGCAGGGACTGCCTGGAATGAGTTGTTGTCAGGTGCCGTCTCGTCGGTTCCAGTGGAGAGCTACCTTTGGCACAATAGAACAGAATAGAACAAAATGCACCAGCCCCGCGGTCATTGTTCTTTTCGAGCCCATTGTTGTAGCCACTGTGCCAATCCAGCTCCTTGCGGGACTTCCTCTTTTTCGCTGACTTTTCTACTTGACCAAGCATGTTTTCTTTTTCCAGAGCCTAGTCTCTGTCCCCTATCAGAAGAAGACAGTCATTGAATCAGTGCACAGACATGCTCTTTTCCTCGCACAAATTCAGCACATAATCAGAGTAGCGGGATGATGTGCAGAAGAACGCAGCATCAGGATCGAGGGCAGGCTCATTCTCACCCTTCACCATGCAGCTGACACACATTTGCTTGGTGAAGGTGAGAAGGACTTGAAGCACTTGCTGATGAAGATCAAGCATCGTAGCCTTCAATGTGGAGTGCAGCTCTATGTGATTGAACTATTGAATTGTATGACGTGTGAATTACATGCCAATAAAACTGTTGGGAAAAAGCAACAACAACAACAACAAGATAAAAATTAGAAATAAAAGAGACCACGCTTACTGGTTTCAGGTAGAGACTGGTGGGACTCCCAAGACTATAGCCATTTACCCTTCAGGCCTGGACCTGCACTCACCATTGCATTATACTAATCAACCACTGCAGATCAGCAATGGAGAAAAATGAGGCGCTCTGCTCCTGAAAATAACCACATTCTCGGAAACCCACAGGGGCGGTTCCACCCTGTCCTATGGCGTCGCTGTGAGTCAAAGTTGATTTGATGGCAGTGAGTTTGGTTCCTCGGTGAAATTCAAAGGGCAGCCTTTCCCCAAGGACAAAGTGTAAAAGATAGGGAAAGAAGGTGAAAAGGAGACACAGGAGGCCGTGGGATAAACAGTGGTACACTGAGAGGATTCACAATAGTCTTCTTCACAACGGGACCAATATTTCATGATACCCGGAGAGAAGATTGAAGTGGCCAAGGATTTCATCTTGCTTGCATCTCCAATTAATGTGCACGGAAGCAGCAGTCAAGAAATCAAAGGATGCATTGCCTTGGGTGAATCTCCACAAGATCTCATAAAATGTTGAAGAGCAAGGATGTGACTTTGAGGACTACGGTGCACCTGACTCAAGCCATGGCATTTGCATGTGAACGTTGGACATTGAATACGGAAGACCAAAGAAGAGTCATTGCCTTTGAAGTGTGGTGCTGGAGATGAGTCGTGAAAGCACCATGGGCTGCCAGAAGAACAAACCCAGTCTGTCTGGGAAGAAGCACAGCGAGAATGCTCCTTGGAAGCAGGGATGGCAAGACTTCATCTCACATACTGTGGGGCATGTTCTCAGGAGAGAGGAGGCTCAGCAGGAGGTCATCGTGCTTGGGCAAGTAGAGCGGCATCGAAAAAGAAGAAGCCCTTGAGACGGATCGACACCATGACTGCACCTATGGGCCCCAGGCCGTTGTGAGGATGACGCCGGATCAGGCGCTGTTTCGGTCTGTTGCAAATAGAGCCTTCATGGCTCAGAACCAACTTGATTTGAATGTTGGGACATGCTCTTTTTCTTGTGTATTGATGACTATTTTATAAGCAAATCTGCAGCAGTCAAGAAAACGTGTGAGTGCTAACTACTCTTTTGGTGAACTACAGAAGAAAATGACACTGTTCAGCAGAACTGTTGACTCAGTATTTCTGTTAAAATGATAACTGTGAAAGATGTATTCTAATGGCCAACCCATCTCAAGCTTAAATTCCCCCCAAATCTATCAGGTAATCTTCTGGTCCCTTGACTACATGTCTTTTACACTTGAATAGTTTATCATTTTATCACTTGTTTGTTGATTAGGAAAATAATTGATATTTTCTATCCATCCGCCGGTGAAGGCTCTCTGAGATTCTCAGAAAGTATTCTGTGGTTCAAAAAAAAGCTTGATACAATTGATGTATGGATTGTTATAAGAGCTGTAAGAGCCCCCAATTAAATGATCTTAAAAAACAAAACAAAAAGCAAACCTGAAAGAAAGATGAAATTTATCAGGTGCAATTTCCTAGTTGAACGCTTTGGTTCGTGTGTCTCTAATGCAAAGCTGTGACCAAGCAAGTAACTGCAGTAACCAAAGCCCTTCTCTTACAGGTATTCGCAGTTTTATCTGGAAGATAGCTTTTGCCAGTACAACATGTTTAACCATCATTTCTTTGATGGACAGGTAAGAACTGTGACCCTGCTCTCTTTGTTTTTCATTGTAGAAGGACATCTTCAAGGAAGCCCCTGTCATTTGTTCTCTGCTTCCTTGGCACCCAATGGTGGTGCTCCATCATGGATTGCTGGTGTTTTTATTAACTCACCAAAGATTGATTGAGACCCAGGCGTGATCCTGTTTAGTCCCTTTCCATGCCTTCTCTCTGCTCCACGCAGCTCTGCGGGATCTGGACCCTCTTCACCTCTTTATTCTTCTCTTTTCTCCTGCCTGGGTGGGGTGTGCTTGGGGCAGGTGGCTTTCATATTGGACTAGACAACACCCACCCACCCCCACCCACCCCCCCACACACCCCCCCTCTGCCCAATATTCGCTTTTAGCCTTGTTAACTCAAACCCATCTTCCTGTTCAAATGTCACTTGCTCTAGCCTTTCCCAGTCCCCGTACAAGCTCCCAGGTATAGACTTGTTGGGGTGAGTGGTTAATCACCACCAAGTTGACTGATTCATGGTGCCCCTCCTGTCAGTTTGCAAGCAGATCACCAGGCCTCACTTCTGAGGCACTTGTGAGCCTTTCAGTTCATAGTCCAGCCTTTCGGCTCATAGTCCAGCCCCCAACCATTGTGCCACCCAGGAATTCCTTCTAGCCTTGTTGTGTTGTAGTGAGATCATTTATTTCATGGTGAAGTGCTGGATGTCTGTCTCTCTGAGAGATGCCAGGCTAAGAATACCAGTTGAGACTTAACAGTTCTATTAATCATTAAATAAAGAGACAAGAGGCTAAAAAAGAAAAAACTACATTCAATATACTCTTAGTACAGACACTACAAATTCACAACACAGCAGAGCTGATGGTTCTACTTTGACCTCTTTGTCAGACCCACTGCAAGCAAAAACCATGGCCAACTCAGCGATTAATGCATCTGCCAAGAGGCCTAAATGCCTTGGAATGATCAAGACATCTGTTTGAAGCGTATGCCTAGATATATGCATATACTTCTATGGCTTCTTTATTGAACCCTAACACACATCTAAGTGCATATTGTGCTTTATTAGCAAATGATAAAATCAGACCCTGATCAATGAGACTGAAAAGCCAAGCAATCAGGAAAGGAAACTCGGGTCTTAGGATTGAAAATTGTGTCCTCTGCGTCAGGGTAGCCTATTCCTTTCAGTTGAATCCATTTTGCATAGAGGGCTGACTGTCACGGCTGTGGCAGCCATTAGACGCTCTATCAAAATAAACAGCAGTTAGAACTCAGTGCATTTCACTATTCCCCCAAAGGTTTGATGGTTGTTCATCAGTAGGCTTTCAGACCTGATTTGATAACAATGTAGGACAAAGGGGGTGTGTGTGTGTGTTGTGTGTGTGTGTGTGTGTGTGTGATATCACACACAGGGTTGGTGGTTCAAACCTCTTAGCAGGCCTGATTTGACAACAATGTAGGACAAAGGGTGTGTGTGTGTGTGTGATATCACACACAGGGTTGGTGGTTCAAACCTCCTAGTTGTACTAGGGAAGTAAAGAGAAAATCTACTGTAAAGCTGTAAAGCCTTGAAACCCCGAGGAGCAGTTCTACTGTGTCCTGTAGGGTCGCTGTGAGTCGGAATCGGCTTGACAGCAGTGGGTGTATATCTTAGCAGCAGTCTCTTGATTGCACTGCCACAGTATAGATTGATGGAGAAAACTAGAATCTTCAGGAGTTCAATATTTCAGTATAACCCTTTTCCTGTCTACTCCCCAAGTCACGTTGTAGAGATCTACTATCTACTACCTGGTGGCATAGGGGGACGGACATGACTTGGGCTGCTAAGTGCAAGGTCAGCAGTTCAAAACCACCAGCTGCTTCATGGGACAAAGATAAGGCTTTGTACTCCCGTAAAGAGTTATAGTCTGGAAACCCATAGTGGCACTTTTGTCCCAAAAGGTCACTGAGAGTCTGAATCGCCTCGATGGCAGTGAATTCAGAGCAGTCAGTCAGTCAGTGTCTGCAGGTGCGTGTGCACCACCCCAGAGGGCATCAGCAGTTCAGTTTGGCTGCTCACAGTGCGCCCCCCTGTGTTCCAGGCCGCCCTTGAAGAATGCAGAGCTTTCTTACAGGAAGACGAAGGCACAGGTGTCATTATGGTGACAGATCCTCCTTTCGGCGGCCTGGTGGCACCTCTGGCTGTGACGTTTAAGAAGCTCATCGCTCTGTGGAAGAAAGGTCAATGCCAAGGTGTGCATGTTATTACTTATTGCTAAACAGATGTGCGTCCCCAGCCTGCCAGCTATCAGCAGAGCAACGAGAGGACGGCCAGGCCTTTTTTCACAGGCTGCTGCAGTGACGTGGCAGGCTCATAGTAACAGCCGGCTTGGTAGCATCCTAATCACGTGTGCTTAACATGGCTTGTGGGTGCCGTATTTGTTTCTGTGGGAATAGGGGCATTCTGAAAGACAGGAACAGCTGTAGTCATCACCCAGTGAATGATCACAGCGAGATTAGGTGCTAGGAAGGAGCAAACCAGATTGAGTCCCCACCCATGGGAGCAAGCCTTCCACTCCTGGCTCTTTGGGTCTGACCCCAAACGCTTAAGGGCACCCGGCCCCTGTCCCGGATTTGGCTGTGGCAGTCAGACGTGGTTGCCTCACACTGGTTCTTGGGGATAGGGAGATACCAGGCCCTGGACAGTGGTGATACTCTCCAGTTTAAAGTGGCCTCGGCCTTGAGAGTGTTTTGTGACCTGACCCAGTCAGCCTGGGCGGGTGCTGTTTGTGCATTGACCAGTGGGAGGTGTGTCATGGGTTAGGTTCCAGCTTCTTCTTCGAGTGGGCCACCCGAGTCATGTACCTGCCCGTAGACGGCAACACAAGCCGTCCTGTGACTCATCTTCATATTTACCTCACTTCTCTGCTTCATCCTAAGGTCCACTCCCCAGAACGGGTGTCCTCCATGTTACTGGGAGAAACTACAGAACCTGCAGCTGTGCCTCTTCTTAGCGTGAACCTGAGCATACATCGGGGGCTTCACTCCCCTACCCCCCATTTGGAAAAGGGGTTATTAATCTTTGATGAAGGGAATACGTAATTTAAAGGGGATAGTCTCTAGACCATGCCCAGTGTGATGCTCAGCTTCCTGTCTCAGAAAAATCCACGGTGACAAGATGTTTTTTTACGAACCTGTCATACTTCAGAAGATTGGGTTGCCCCTGGCAGCCAAGACAGTGAGGGGTGGCAGAGCTTCGATTTAGCCCCCAGGCCTTCTGTCCCTAGTGAATCATGGGAGGATGGGACGTCCTGTGCCAACAATGTCCTCATCACATATGTGACATTCCTCGTTGCTGGTCTGCAGGTCACTGAACTTGGGGTGTAATGGGGTCTCTAGAGAAACAAAATCAGTCATGCTTGCATGTGTTAAAGAAAGAGGTTTATCTTGAGAAGCAGTGGACACATTTGTAGAAGCAGGTTTATTTTGACTTGTGGAGGCTGTTATCAGGAAGAAGGATGATGAAACAGAGGTGGCGGGGGGCACAGGCTGGCAGATGTAGAGGTAAATTAATTTGAAGTCAGCCGAATGAATTCACTGTTAGTAGTCCAATGACAGCTCCTGAGATCGGTAGAAACACAACAGGTTATGGAGGAACCAGACCAGGATGTGAATCAGACAACAGGGGCCACAAGCTGGTGGATGCAGAGGGCTAAAATTGGCCAAATGAATCCACCGGTAGTCTGCTGAAGGCTCCTGAGATTGGCAGGTGACATGAAAGGAAATCAAAGAACTGGATGCAAGATCCACCTCCATCAGAGGCTAAAGGCCAATGAGGATTTGACTCTTCTTTATCTCTATTTTAGGTAAAAGGTCACACCCCCAAGGAAGTGTCGTCAGGCTGTGACCTGATTGATAGGCTCCACCCTTGGCCTTAACCAAGACATGATCCCTAACCATCACTGGTCTGATCACCATTGGCTCCTGCAAATGTACAGGGTCTATTGACAGCAGGAGTGGGGCAGGCCAGCCTGGTCCACAGAGAGGTTGAGGTCAGGGGTGATGTCTAAGTGGGCTGAGAAGTTAGCAGCTCGGCCCTCTTCACTGCATCAGCCTTCCTGGCTCTTTTATGGTTGCTTTAGGAACGTGAGGGCGCACCCTGACTTCTGCACAGCCAGGGCTAGTCAGGCAGCAGCAAGGTCCACCACGGTCTCGTGGAACTGCAAGCTCATCATGTCCTCTGCTGCTCCTGACAGTGGACCCATGTGAGAGGCTGCAGGCTGCCCCGCTCCAGCATGGAGAACCCTGTGTTGCCAAGGAGTGAGTCCCTTTCCACTTCGCACGTTTTTTGTTCATGACGTTCCTTTCCTCCCATTGGTTGTCGGCAGCACTTGCGTTGAGTTGATGGAGAGTGACTCTGTGAGACAAGAGAACTGCCTACGGGGTTTCCCAGGCCTCATCTTTCAGAAGCAGGTCTCCAGGTCTTTGTCCCACCGAGCCTGTAGGTGGCTGTGAACTGCCGACCTTTCATTAGCAGCGTGCCACCTGGTGCCTTCCAGGGTCACTTCCATATACTCGCTGTAACTGTGTTCTCATGTAGAAGAACGTCCCATTGACCTTTGGAAAAATGGGGTTGTAAATATCACTTTGGTGCATATTTTGGGTGTGTGTATGAGATTCCATTTTATATGAATGATCTTATTTTTTCTCCTGATAACATTATAATTCTCTTTTATCTTTTTGATACCAATTTCTGATTTCTGTTTCTCTCTCTCTCTCTCTCTATGTTTTTGTGATCCATTAGATGACAGTGACAAAGAACTACCCATTTTCTGGATTTTCCCTTATTTCTTTGAGTCTCGAATTCGTCAGTTTTTTCCAAGCTTCTGCATGTCGGATTACCAGGTAGAGTGACTATTCTGCTGCTAGCATGGTTGGGGTGACTGTTCTCCGTAAGTGAATGTTCTGATAAGCCGCTTCGTCTATTTTAATTTCTAGTAAATTAAAATAATCCCCGCGCGCTGTACTAAGCACTACAATCCCACCGTGTGTCAGTCCAGCTGTGCCTAAATGTCCGGAATCCCTAGGGTGCTTGTTGAAGTACAGAATCCTCAGTAACGAATAGAGCGACTGAGTCAGCCTCAGAGGGTGAAATCCAAGGGAGGGGGCATTGCCACTGAGTACTTCTGTAGCACATCCTGCTCTAATCTTTTATCACCAGAAGATGTCTCAGGCCTAAGACCATCGTGATGGATCTCTGTTTTCTCTGTGTTGGGGTTGTAGAGCAGTAAGTCGCTTTCCTAGTAGGTGGGTCTCCATGTGGACCCTCCTGGGCTGCTCAGAAGACATCAGGAACGAAAGGGGCACACACAGGTAGGGGTGTCACAGCAGGCTGTGAGCATGAGTGTTGAGTGTATTGGTTCCCGGTGGAGTTTACAGAAAGGCGGATGTCTCCTTCACATCATCGCCCTGGTGCTTTCCTCACGCTTTAGGTGAGACTAGACACCTGAGTCCATGCTAGCCCCACCCAAATCCAAGCCAAGGTCACTGCCATCCTATCAATGCTGACTCAAAATGACCCTATAGGACAGGGTAGAACCACCCCTGTGGGTTTCCAAGAGTTTCACTCTTTACAGGAGTAGAAAGCCTTATCTTGGTCCCAAGGAGTGGCTGGTGGTTTCGAACTGCTGATCTTGAGGTTAACAGTTCAACATATAACCACTATGTAACCACTATGTACTAGGGCCCCTGGTAGCTCCACAAGTTCTTTCTTCTGCTTAAATATCTTTTTCCCGGGTTCATGTCCATGGGTTCAGACATTAGCCCTGCTGTCGGAGCCGCTGTGTGGTCCCCAGGTGGGTGCTGCTTCCTGTGTCAGCAGTGACTTCTTCCTAGTTGAGTCGTCTGTCCTAACAGTTGACCAGCCTCTTGCTAAGACTCGCCAGCCCCACGCTAGAGATGTCATCACTGGGTGTTCCAAGCCGACATTGAAGTCCGCCGTGAAATTCGTTTAAATTCTGAAACAATTTCACCGCAAATGAGAGGACAAACCCAACTTAGCAAACGTTTCCATCCGAGACTGCAACTGTTTTCATTTCTAAATATTCATTTTCCATCTCTGTAAAGCATGTTTTTCATATTTGTGATGCTAACAGGTAGTTTTGAATTCTTTCCTTTCTTCACCATCGCCTATGTAAGTGTACATCTTTTAACATAACTACATAATTTTTATGCTTTTAGTAACTTGAAGTGATTTCTATGTTCTCTTTCTTGTCATCTTAAATTAATACAAGGGGACTTCAAAAAGTTCATGGAAAAAATTTATGAGCTTTTAATTCCACTTTCCACAAACTCCAATACTCCCGATAGGTCACTACCATCTTTGTTTAAAATAAAGTGGATGAGAGAGGAGCAAGGAGAGTAATGGGTTAGCACCTGTCTTGGCAGCCTGTGCTGCTAGGAATGGTTTTTGTATGCTTTCGTTCTGAAGAACAGTCTTGAAATCCACATTAATACACACACACACACACACACACACACACACACACACACAC